AACCCCCCCGACCCACACTTCATCTCGGCCGCAGCCTGGCAGAGCGTACGGCTAGCTCAACGACCTGGCGGAGCGCACTCGAATTTAAAAGCACAATTAGTCACCTTAGCGTCGCGATTAAAATTAAAGACACGTACGTCTTCGACTCCGAAACGAGCTATCGCATGTTGTAACATGATAAATCTCGGTCGTGCTGGATCATCTAGTAATACGTCATCGGATGAAACCGAGGTAGATGATGAGGTTAATTCGGGAAGGTCTAAGTTTGTCCCAATCGCGAAATGGGAGCTTACATTTTCGGGAGACGGGATAGAATCGGTTATGCTTTCTTAGAGCGTGTTAATGAGTTAAGAATTGCACGGGGTGTAACGAAACAAACACTTTTTAGGTCGGCCGTAGATATATTTAAAGAAAAAGCCTTGATCTGGTACCGTGCGAATCGCGAAAATGTTGCTACCTGGGAAGAGTTAGTAACCGGATTAAAATCTGAATTCCAACCAGTAGATTATGAGGATAGGTTGTTTGAGGAAATAACGAATAGAACGCAGGGATAGAATAGAACCTAGTGAATCGGTTGGTATTTACGTTGCGGTTATGCGGAATTTGTTTAATCGGTTAGGTACGCGAATGCCCGATGAAAATCAACTTAACATTATTTTGCGAAACTTAACACCTACTTACCAGAGACAGTCGTTGATTGACGTTCATTCGATTGAACAGTTCTTGCAATTAGGGAAAAGATTAGAAGCAACAAAGTTAGCAGTAGTCATACACACCCCCGGTTCGCGCGTCAAAGGTATTGGAGCCTGATCTCGCGTATACTCAGACAAACATAAACGAATTAAAAAGCGTGGCAGAGGTAAATTCAGTATCGCGTCAAAAATGTTCGGGAAACGATGGCAGGGTGAGGCGATAGATCGGTGTCTTCACCAAAGCCTATCAAAGCCGATCGGAGTGTTGATAGATTTTGTTTTTAGTTGCGTGCGAGATGATGAAAGACCCTATTTAGCTGTAGAGATATTTGGGAAAAAAGTTGTAGGTTTATTAGATTCGGGAGCGAATCAGACTATTTTCGGTGAACGGGGGATTAAAGATGTCTCATTGAGAAATTAAATATACCGATACTCAAACCAAATAAGAAAGTTACCATCGCAAATAACGATAGCTGTATTGTGAATGGTTTTGTAACTATTTCTATGAAATACAAGAAAAATGCATAATGTTAGAAGTTTTATTGGTGCCACTGGTTAAATATGAATTAATACTGGGGACAGACTTTTGGTGTAAAATGGGCATTGTACCTGACTTAAGACGTGGGGAATGGACATTTTCGAATGTGACTCCTGAATTACATTCTAATGCAATTCAATCGAGATCAGAACTTACGGACGAAGACGAAAAGACACTGGCTGACATTTTAGACAATGTTTTTAGGGACTCAAAAAATCGACAATTAGGTCACACAAATTTAGTTGAACACTGTATTCGGACAGACGTGTCACCTATAAAACAAAGGTACTACCCCATATCACCTGCGATGCAGAAAATCGTAAATAAAGAACTTGGTGTCGTTGAAAAATCGCAAAGTGCTTGGTCCTCTCCCTTATTGCTCATTCCTAAAAAAGACGGTACTTATCGGTTCTGTGTGGACTACAGACAGCTCAATAAGGTAACACAATCCGACGCATATCCTTTACCACAGATGTCATGGACTTTGGATCGTTTGAGAGATGAGAGATATTTATCGAGTATCGATATTAAATCAGCCTACTGGCAAATTCCTATGGAAGAAAAGAGCAAACAATATACAGCCTTTACAGTTCCCAATCGCGGACTCTTTCAGTACTTTACAGTACTTTCAGTACGTTTTACTCGTATGCCGTTTGGCTTATCTAATGCTCCTGCAACGAGGTAGAGATTCATAGACGGAGTGATAGGAAACGACTTGGACCCTCACGTATTTGTTTACTTAGATGACGTGATTATTGTAACGGCGAGTAAGGAAAAACATTTTGAGATTTTAAATAAAGTATGTAACAGGCTGAAAGACGCAGGATTTACCTTGAACAAGGACAAATGTAATTTCTTTCGTGACAGTCCCAAGTATCTTGGCTACGTGGTGGACGGAAGCGGTTTGCATGTTGATCCCGATAAAGTCAAAGCTATCCTGGAGATTCCGATACCGAACAAGGTAAAAGAAGTCAGACGTATGGTGGGAATGGCATCTTGGTATCGCAGATTTGTGTCAGTTTGCTACGGTAATAGCGCCTTTGACAGGATTGTTAAAGAAAACATGTAAAAATTTTAATTGGGCCGAAGAATGTACTAGGGCTTGGAAGATAATTAAAGAAAAACTTATTACGGTTCTAATTTTGACAAGACCAGACTTTGAGAAAGAATTTGTGGTGCAGACGGATGCTTCGGACTTTGGACTTGGCGCAGTTTTGATGCAGGTAATTGATGGGGACGAAAAAGTAATTTGCTACTTAAGTCGATGTTTGACTGCTCAAGAGCGGAAGTATAGTACAACCGAGAAAGAATGCCTCGCCGTACTATGGGCAATCGAACGACTTAGGCCATATGTTGAAGGATCTCATTTTAGAGTAATTACGGATCATTATTCGTTAGTGTGACTGAACAGATTAAAATCACCAAGTGGACGGTTAGCTAGATGGTCGATTAGATTACAGCAATACAACTTCACTATTGAACATAGAAAAGGAAAGGACCATGTTGTACCTGATTTATTGTCCAGATCCGTGCCCGTAGTTATTGCCGAAGTTGTGCCGAAAATTAAATTAGACGACCCTTGGTTAGAGAAATTGAAACAGAATATTTTAGCGAACGAATATAAGTATCCAAAATATATTGTAAATTATTCGATTCTAACAATGGACGAAGGTTGGAGGATTGTTGTAGGAAAGAAAGATAGATCAAAGCTTCTGCATAAATATCACGACATACCTGAGACAGGGGAAATGTGGGCGTTTTTAAGACTATTTCAAAATTGACGAAACATTATTATTGGCCCAAACTAAAGATTGATGTAATACGTTATATAAAGAATTGTAAAATTTGTAAACAAACGAAAGTTGAACAATCCCGCAGGGCATATGACTAGTCATTTAGGCGCAGATAAACCTTGGAGATATCTGAGTATAGATTTAATAGGACCTTTGCCTAGGAGTAATAAAGGATTTTCTTATATTTTGGTAATATTTGACGTATTTAGTAAACTCCCTGTGTGTTTTCCGTTAAGAAAAGTTACCGCAGCCAACGTAGTAAAATGTTTAGAGAAAGGAGTATTTTTGACTTATGGGGTGCCTCAAACAATAGTGTCAGATAACGGGGTTCAGTTTAGATCTAAAGAGTACGGACGATTATTAGAGAATTATCATGTTAAAGCTAAATATACCGCGTATTACCATGCTCAAGCAAACCCTACTGAACGAATTAATCGGACATTAAAGACCATGTTGACTGCATACGTTAGTGACACCCATAAGAACTGGGAAAAATTTACTGGTGTGAAGCTATCCATAAATCCCAGCAATAAACTTAAAACATTAATAATTCCGTAACCAATACGATTTGGGTAACCAAATTTCACACACAGGTCACTCTTACCCTCAAGAACAGCTAACCACACCCATTTGGTAAAAAAAAATTTTTTTCAACCATCACCCCCGAAAAAGGGATGTTTTCGCCCTGATGGGCACCTTCGAATTAAACGAAATTCTACCACATAATAGAACACACTTCTAAGTATTTTTATCAATTTTCAAAACACCGTAAGCCCTAACGGTTTCCGAGAAAAAAAAATCAGTATTATAAACCGTGGATGGGACTTTAGGGGTGAATTTTGGGATGGTTTAGAGGATGCCTTTAGTAATTTAAATCAACCATCCAAACACCGTAAGGTATAACGGTTTCCGAGAAAAAAAATTTGTTATTAGACACTATAGGTACACAGCGCGGCGCGGACTTTGGGGGTGAATTTGACCCCGTTGGGCACCTCCAAAATTGATGAAATTTTAGGATGATTTAGAGGATGCCTTTAGCGATTTAAATCGACCATCCAAACACCGTAAGGTATAATGGTTTCCGAGAAAAAAATTGGTTATTAGACGCTATAAGTATACACCGTGGCGCGGACTTTGGGGGTGAATTTGACCCCGTTGGGCACCTCCAAAATTGATGAAATTTTAGAATGATTTGGAGGGTGGACTTTTGATAGAAAAAAAACTTTTGATAGAGAAAGAAGTTTATTATATTAATGGTCTGTTTTACTTATAATTAAATTGTGTAATGGATTGAGAATATGATTATAATTACTTGCTACCGCGTTCCAGACCGTTTCCAACCCTTGTTCATTTAAGTAAATGCCATCCCTGTGTAGAAATTTGTATTAAATACATAAGAAAAGAAACATTTTTACGTTTTGTTACCCTTCCATCATGGTTCTGTTAACAATTGCTTCAATGTCGGTACAATTGATTTGCTTTTCAGCACAAAACCGTCGAATGTAATGATTGATTTCCTATAAAGGCATGGAGAGTATTTATTTATAGCATGACATAAAAATTATAATATCTTACGTTCACAGACTCGAAGTTTTTGCAGGGAGGAATTGTGCAAATTTGTATTCCTTTAGGATTTAAGGAAAGAAGGAAGCGGAAGAGGTGAGAATATTGGGTCTTCAGTTGGGATGGTGATGTTTTATGGAGTATATCTTTAGTTCTTATCATTATAACGATATGACGTTCAACAATATCTCCACAAAACCAAGAGGAACATGTTTTTGGAATACACTTTGCGCGCCGCAAAAGTTTTAGTATTGTTTGACCGCCTACTGCTAAGTCGAGGAAATATTTTCCGTTGCTTGTCCGTTTTGATTGTCGTCCTAAAATATATACCATTAGTAGGAATTAATTTCACATCTGTTAGAACAAATACTTACGTTGTAGTTACTTCTAGTACGTAGCATTCGGCAAAAATTACTATCGCCCAAAAACAGTAATTTCGTCGGCATTTTCACTGGTCACTGGTTTTAACAAGAGATAACTAGAACAGCTGATCTCTGCAATAGCTGAGGTACCTTTATTAAGCTTCGTCGACGGACCATTAGGACGCAAAACACAATGATGCGGCAAATAGTAATTGGTGGTTGTATCGGAGAAAGGAGATGTTATCAATGTCATATGCTCAGATTTGAGATAATCGAGCATGAATTCAGAATAAGCGGACTTTAATTCGGAATTTCGAGAAAGGCGCTTTTCAAGGAGTAAATATCTTCTAAGCGCTTGATGGTAAAAATTGCCCAATCTAGACGGATCATCGCGAAATGGTAGGGCCAACACAAAACGTCCATCTTGTGCACGTTGACAATTGTTAATAAAATGTGATTCACATACCGCCTCTTCCGGAGATAAAGAAAGTTGTGTCTCAACCTGTTCGATTTCCCAGAAACGTTGAAAACATGTCTCCAATGATGAATCAACGACAGCGCAACAAGCGGTGATTTCTGAAGAAGCAGAAGACCCTGTATCAGTCCCCATCAACAACCAGCCAAACACCGATCCCACAGCAACAGGTTCATCAGGCCTGCCAGTCACTCGCTGATCATCCAATACATAAGGCACCAGTTCAGCACCCAAAAGCAAATCGACAGGCGCGGATCGAGAATACTGATCTTCATCAAAATGCAAATCTTTAAGATGCGCATACGAATCTATCGACAAACATCTTTGTGGTTGCTGAGCACAAATAGTCTTTGTAATAATGGCGTTCAAATCAAAAGAAGGCTCAGACATTGTGAAAGGTTTTATCTGACAATAAACTGAACCTTTGTTGCAGGTGGATGACATGCTGTTCAACCCAGAAATCGCGTGGCAAGACTTCACGCGCGGAAGCTTCAATTTATTTGCTAAATTCAGCGTTATAAAATTTGCCATACTCCCGGAATCAATAAGGGCTCGTACTTTATGAAAAGACCCTGTGTAGTCTTTTATTTCTAAGATTGCAATTGGTAAGATTACTGTGTTGAAAATGTTATTATTCTGAAGAGCAACACCCTTCCCGGAAACGGAATTAACCGGTGAGCTTAAAGAAAGATCAGCACTGTTAATATGCATTGCGGTTTTAGGAGGTGTTTTTAAATGTAAAAGTGAATGGTGACGCTGATGACAAACTTTACAACTAGACACAGAGTTGCAATTGCCCGTGGAATGAAGAGAACTTAAGCAATTTCTGCACAAATTTTTATCTCGAGCGCAATTTAATCGCTCATTCGGGGTTTTATTCTGAAATGTTGGACAACGATATATCAGATGAGAATCGGAACATATAGAACATTTCGCATTGTTCGCAGATCTAACCTGAGTTTCGGTGGAAAAGGTAGCAGTCTTAAAATAACGAGAAGAGTTTTTAACTTTGTCTGTGGACGTTTGGAAATTTGACGATGTTAGTTGGACAGAGTCAATAGCCCTGGCTTGACCTTCAAGAAAGGTAAGTAAACTTTTAAATGACGGAATGTCAACTTCACTTTGTTGCACTTCAAATTTAGTTTTTATAGCATCATCCAATTTTTGCAGTAACATATTAAAAAGCAAAAAATCCCAAGAATCAACAGGGAACTTAAGTTTACGCAGACCCTCCAGATTTTCAGAAAAAGCATCAATCAAATTTCGAATACTTTTAGGAGACTTACTACTTATAGGTTTTAAACCTTGTAAATCATTATAATAAAGAGTTGCCAAATGACGCTTGTTTTCATATCTTTTTTTAAGTGTTTCATAAGCAATAAGATAATTGTCATCAGTGACAGGAATCCCTTTAATTAAATTAAGTGGTTCACCAACCAGAGATGTCAGCAAATATTGATATTTCGCAATATTCGAAAGCGACAAATTATCGTGAATCATCGTCCGAAATCGTGTCAGCTTGTCGACGAACAGTCTTGTGGTCATCAAACTGTTCATCGTCAATTAACCCAATAATAGCATTATGTTGCTCTTGAAATTCATCATAAACTCTATCTACCTTTTCAGCACGTGATAAAAAAACAGCTTCCATTTCAGGACGGTCCGTAATCGCAAAACCTACACCCAAAGTTTCTAAAAGGCGATTTGATTGAATATTTCGCCTTAAAATCGCCTTGTTTAATTTGTTGGTCATTGTGCTAACAAAATGAAAAAAAAATTAAACGGAAAATGAGAAATAAATCAAAAAAAAAAAATAAAATAAAATAATTATAATAAATTGAATTTCTTTAAAGAAAAGAAAATAAAATAATTTCGAAGAAAAGCGGAAAGTGGAAGAGATACTGGCGATACTGGATCTCTTTTAAAGTAATGCGCGAAGAAGTTTGATAATGCGTAGGTGGGGGTGCGAATTACAACGAATTACATTGCGAATTAAAAGTATTTTAAATAGTTTAGCGCGGACAAAACAGGAAGAAGATCTATTTTTTCGTTCCTAAAGATGATTGTTCTATTGGTGGTAATATTTTAAAATTAAACGGTGAAAATTTTATAACAGTTAATTTCAAAAATAATAAATTAAAGTTATTACTTGATACAGGAGCTTCAATTAGCGGTATCTTTACGTCTTGTTTGTCGGATTCAGATTAACAAAAAGAAATGCATACAAATAAAAGGAATATCGGGTTCCACTTGTAGTGGGAGATTGTATTAAGTAGGGATATTAGAATTAGATATCAGTTAGTATTAAACGGTAACAGATAGAATATGTAATACAGTCGACGTATGCAGTTGAATAAACTATTATGTAGAACACCTTTAAATCAGTATTTTAATATAAGGACACCCAACCTTTACATGGCGATCCTGCAAACCGAACAAATGAAAAATAGAAAAAAATATAAATTAAAAAAAAAAAAATTATCCTTGAAGATATATTATAAAACACCATCAGGAAATTATAGGAATAAAGAGAAGATGGGGTATAATCAATCAAAAGAGGCTAAGGAAGAAATTATAATCAATCAATCCGCAGCAGGGAATGCAGTAACCAACAATTGGACATCATAATAGGGTCAGTTGTTTTAGCTTTATTTTTAATATATTTTGTGATGCGTCAGGAAATTACTCGCCACGAACTTGCAAAATCCCGAAGTGAAATGGTTTAAGTAGGTCAGGTGAAGATCCGCAGTAAAATTGATGACGAATAAATAAACCCAAATTTCAAATTGATTCATGCATAGGCAAACAAAAAAAGAAATGAATAAAATAAGTAATTAAGTAAGGTAAGAAATAAATAACAAAAATAATAATATAAATATATAATGTAATTGATGGCTACATTTGAAAAATGTTATAATAAATTTAAAGAAATAAGAACATATTTAATAAAATTAGCAAGTGGTAGACGAAAAGGGGAAATATTAGTTAAGAAAAAAAGGGGCGCAGATTTAGTGTATGTCGACTTTACTAGATTAAAGAATGAGTTAAATTAGAAGTATAGGGTAACGACTTAGGAATTATTAAGGAGTTAGGATTATTAAAGTAGATACTATTTAGTGTGAATTAATTAGTTTAACCACTGAGGAAGAGATCAATATGTCAAATTTCGATTTGAAAGTCGCAATTAGTCTCCTTACGGTGATGAATGACACGGAAGATATGACAAATAAATTAATAGATTCGATTTTATTTTACGAAACTATGTTTGATGATGGCGGTAAGCGGCATTTAATAAATTTTATTCTAAAAGCGCGTTTATCTCAGTCGGCAAAGATGACGTTAAATTCAGAGTATGCCACAATTACGGATTTAGTTAACGATATGCGAAAACATTTACTGACGAAAAAGTCAGATACTTCAATACAAATGAAATTGACAACGATTAGACAAAATGAAAAATCAATTGCTGATTTTGGCCAGGAATTGGAAAGACCTTTTGTCGATTTAACAATTTCACTGGCAGACGGCAATGATCAATCATTTACAGTGTTAAAACCAATTAACGAAAAATTAGCTATCAAACGGTTCGCTTAGAAATAGTAAATAGTAAATTAAACTTAGAAATAGCAGGTTAAGTACAATTATTGCCTCCAGAAATTATGAATCCCTTAAGGATGCGATCCGAGGAGCACAAGATGAAGAAATGTGTGTTCATAATTGTTCAAAGTTTTTATAATTTAATTATTAGTCGGCCGTTCCGTATTTTATTAGTTTTTGTTATTCACATGTTTCTCGAGTTGTTGTTGACATTAAAAAGTGTAATAAATCGTTCCGGTCAATTTTCGTTAAAAGTATTTTCAATTGTATTAATTCGAATAGATACACACATTCGTTAAAAGCATTTCGGCTTTTATTTTCTATTCGAAGAACTACTGAAAAATTTCTACATTTTCTACAAGGACCGTAAGCCTTTTGCTTTTTTGACAGTTTTTCTAAGACCCGGGTTTTTAAGTGACTTTATACAAGCGTCTCAGATTTTTCCCGCGCCGGTCTCGGACATTCCGTCATCGTGCCCTTATTGATCAAGGATCCGAAGATTCTTTCATCACCGAGTCACTTCTACAACAGCTTCAACTTCCGCGAAAATCAGCAAGTATCAAGACCGCGTATAGCAGATTTATGCGCGAATATCTCGATTTAAATCACATGCGTCCCGTTACAGTGCCAGTCGAATCACCCAACTTCTATCTTCCGCATCACGGGGTGATTCGCGAATCTAGTACGACTACTAAGCTTCGTGTCGTGTTCAACGGATCACAAAAAACATCATCTGGATTATAATAATATATGCGGAATTAGAAATCGTAGAACGATCAAACCGATTTCAAACATTTACAAATATCATGAAATAACCGTTGAACGATTTTAAAGATGATCCGCTTATTATTAACACAATAATTCACCGAAAATCATCCCACATCATAATTAATTAAATTACTCCGTTCTTGATGGTCATCCGTTGAAAATATTGCCCATGTAGGATTGCCCCGAACATCACCCGTGTGAACCCATAAATTCCATCCATAAAAAAAACTTTTCTGTTTGTGTATCGATTTTAATGATTAATAGCTCATTGGAAAGAGAGCCTTACATAGCTTTGGCGGCGCAGATTTCGGGCGGACACCTTAAATTACGCGAAAAACAGTAAAATATATAAAAAATTCTCTAACTTTAGAGTCCCAAAAATTGAAAACTAATTAACATAATGTCAGGTATGATTACCAAATCAGAATGCGTATACCGTCTTCTACATAAAAGTGAATTTTGGTCGTCGCTAAATCATATCAGTAATTAGAAAAGTGTAACAAAGCACGAACCTGTTTCCAAACGTACGTGGCGCCAGGCGGTTCTTTGAAAAGCAAAATAATATCTATAAGTATAACTTTTTTGCTAATGGTCCGATTTTAATGTGTGCTACCTTTTTGGAAAGGGCTCGTCCTATAGATCATGTCATAGTAATGGCGGCGCGAAATTCTAACAATAACAGTAATTAAACACGTAAAAACTTTATAAACAATCATATCCATAAATATAACTTTTTTATTAATTGTCGGATTTTAATGTGTGATACCATTTTGGAAAGGGCTCGTCCTCTAGATCATGTCATAGTAATGGCGGCGCGAAATTCTAACAATAACAGTAATTAAACAGGTAAAACCTTTATAAACAATCATATCCATAAATATAACTTTTTTATTAATTGTCGGATTTTAATGTGTGATACCATTTTGGAAAGGGCTCGTCCTCTAGATCATGTCATAGTAATGGCGGCGCGAAATTCTAACAATAACAGTAATTAAACAGGTAAAACCTTTATAAACAATCATATCCATAAATATAACTTTTTTGTTAATTGTCGGATTTTAATGTGTGATACCATTTTGAAAAGGGCTCGTCCTGTAGATCATATCAAAGTAATGGCGGCGCGAAATTCTAACGATAACGGTAATTAAACGAATAAAAACGTTATAAACAATCATACCCATAAATATAACTTTTTTGTTAATTGTCCGATTTTGAGTGCTGAGCTCGTCCAAGAAAAAGTAAAAACAAAGACCCTTAACGATTTAGATTGGGTCAAGGTCAAAAGCATGAGAAAAACTCGTGCGGGCACAATAGCCTTAAGGCAGTCCCAGACGATGCGTGTATTC